ATTCGTTTTTTCTTCGCGCGCGCACGCCGTCGTCGTCGGCCGCGGGGCCCTGAATAGTAGCCACGGTCGTCCGCATGCCACGAAGTGAAAGTGTCCGAACGTCATAGGGCGGGAAGCTGGGTGTGGGTGGTGGCGAAGAGTCGTTGGGAAATTTGGTAGAGCTTGAACCGGCACCGCCCTAACAAAAAAAACCAAAAAAAACAAAGTGGGGGTTATTGCCCGCCTCCTCTTATTGAAAACCCTGGCCGGGTGGAATCGGGAGTGTTCCTCCAGTCCTTACATGATTGTTGTTGGTTGTTGTTGTTGTTGTTTCCTCGCCCGCGACCTGCCCTCGGCGCCCACCCACTCGACCAATCAAGCGCGGACCGCCACCCGCGGAACCCACCCCTTTTCGATCGTCCGTCTCTACTCCAGCTTTAGCCGACTACTTCTCACGTGGCCACTCCAATGCATTCCCTAGGATGGCAGGTTATGTACAATAAAAACAACAAACCCACTGCGCGCCTGGGCGGGCGTCGGGGGTGGCGGCGCTGGAGCCCGCTCGGGGAGTCTGCGACCCACCCGCGACCCATCCGCGACCTACCCGCGACCCACCCCGCGACCCACCCGCGACCCACCCCGCGCCCTACCCCTCCCTCCTCATCCGCAAATGCGAGGCACTACACATCTATTCTTCGATCCTTGATATTATGGGCCCCCCCCTGCATGGGCGTCACAATGGCCACCACGACCCAAGAGGGCCCCCAGGACGACCAAGAAAGGCCCAATAGGATGTCCGTAGCGGCCCCAAGACAGCCCAGGAGAGGTCCAAGACGGCTTCAAGTAGGCTCAGGAGCGCTCAAAATGAGCCCAAGCAACCAAACAGCGTTCGAAGATTGCTTCATATGGCCTCAAGTCGGCCCACGAATGCAACAAGAGGCACCCCAGAAGGCCCCAACAGGATCTCCTGGAGGCCACCGAAGCTACCTTATGAAAATAACTGATTTTCGCCATCTCAATGTTTAGCTCCTGATGGGCTGCTGAGGGTTCAAGATGTGCCCCAAGAGACCCCCAAGAGACCCCCAATAGACCCCTGAGAAACCCCAAGACCCCCACACGGCCTCCAGGAAACCCCCAAGAGGCCCCAAGACGCCCTCGAGACGCTTCGGAGACGCCCGAGAGGCTCCCACGATGCCTTCAAGAGGTCCCCAGAAGCCCCCAAGAGGCTCCAAGTGACCCCTGGATGGCTGAGGCCACCAAAGCCACCCGGACGCTCCGAGACGCCCCCCCGAGCAGGCCAAGCGAGCACATTTTCTTTGATGGTTTCTTTCAAGAGGCCCCCGAGAAGCCCAGCTTGCGTCGCTCCCAGACAGCCGAAAAGTGCTCCAAACTGGCCCAAGAGCGCCACGAGGCGGCCCAAAAGGCTCAGGACGGACCATGAGGCATTCAGTTTTTCTTGTTCTGGACCCCGCGCAGACAGCACCTAACCGACCCGCGCTCCCACACCAATGCGTCACACCCGACCCCCTTTCTCTCCTGCTCACGCATACCAGTAGGACCTCGGCCCCAGGCTCACCCCAAGATAGCCCCCCAAAACACGTACGTCCCTCCGAGTCTATCCAGATTCGTCCGTGCACCTGGTCTGGCCCAGCTGCAGTTTGACGCTGCCCGTGACCTTCCCGACCCTGCCTCCCCGGACCTTCCCCCGACTCTACCCCGGAGATTTCCCACGACCTCTGCAGTTCGAAGTCGCCCGCGGTCTTTGAGACCCTGCATCCCCAACCCTAGCCCCAAGACTTGTCCAACCCTCGCCAACACTTTACCCCAGAGGCCTCTCGGGGCCTCTGCAGCTCAAGCCCGGCCGTGACCTTCCCAACCCTGCCTTCCAACTATAGTCCCAGCTCCACCCCGCACGCCGCATCTGTCAAACCCTCTGCAGTTTAGGCTGCCCGTGACCTTCCCGACCCTGAATCTCCAACCATTTCCCCACTCTCCAGCCTGCGATTTCCAAAGCCAGCCCATCATAAATTCCAGCCCATCCATCTGATCGGCCATCGCCGTCGCGGACTCCCCCCTATCCCAGGGCTCATTTCGATTCCTTCAATTCGATTCGATTTCGATGGCTTCCGATTCCGATTCGATTCGATTCGGGATTCCGATTTGGGCTCCGAATTTTCAAGGAAGCCTATTAGCCTGCCGATTTCCGCCGCCTCGACTTCCCCCGCCTCGGCTGCCGATTTCCGCCGCTCCGATGCACTTCGATCGCCATCCGACTTCTCGGTCCGATTCTGGGCTCTCCTGCTTTCCTGGGCCCCTGGCGCGCGCGCGCGCACTTCGAGGCAGGGCTGGACCTGAGCGGTGTTTTGGCGATTTCGTGGCCCGTTTTCGCTTCGACTTCGTCTTGCGGTAGAGGTGGATTGAAGACAAGACGAAGGAAAACGGAAACAAAACGAAAAATAATTATCCCAGTGCGACCCTACCTAGGAGTTGGAGGATCTAGGAAAGCAACATCAAACATTTATATGAAGCTAAGCTAAGATGAAGTTAAGCTAAGATGAAATAAGATAAGCTAAGATGAGATACGCAACGCTAAGCTAAGGGAACGTCGCTGGGGGAACCGCGGGGCGGATGCCGGGGGAACCGCCCGGGGCGGGTTCCACTGCCCGGCCCTTTAAGCCTAATAGTAAGAACCCTTCCAGGCAGAGCCTAGGTAGGGAAAAACACCGTCCAGGTTCAGCCCTGCCGCATCCCCTCGCCCGCGGCCTTCCCGACCCCAGGCCTGCGCGTATCGCCGACGCCAGGGGTCAAGCCCGCAGGCTCGCAAACAGCTCCCTGCCTCGCCGCCGCGCGCGCACGCCTTCTTGCCAAGACCTCAAAGCGAAGCGCAGCAAACTGTTCTTGCGTTTATATGTCTATATATAAATAGATATTCATATCTATTTGTATATATCGGTATGTGTGTATGTGTCTGTCTGTCTGCCTGTCTGTATGTCTGTATGTATGTATGTATGTAGGTATGTAGGAATGTATGCATGTATGTATGTATGTAGATACATGGATCGATGCCCCCATACTCACGTGTATACATATATATATACATACATATATATATATATATATATATATATATGGGTGTGTGTATGCTTGGACTTATGTATCTGTTAGTACGTGTACACATATACACGTGCGTTCCCTCCCGCCCTGCGAGGCAGTTGCCATTCGGACTCTTGCCGTCCCCGCGAGTCGCGGGCCAGGCGCCGGGCCAGCCCCCTCGGGAGGGGGGGGCTGCGAGGGGGACCGCCCTTCCCGGCATGCCCCGCGGCGTGGGTTCGGAGAGCTGCCGCGCTTCGGGCAGGGTCACTCTCGATCCGGCGGCTCCTCGAGCGAAGGGTAGGTCGACGTATATCAGGAGGGAAAAAAACACAAAGACACAATTAATCGTCGATCCCCCAGAAAATACAGAAAATATGGGAAGTGGGGGGGAAGACAAAAACCCAGAAAATATGGGAAAATATTGGGAGTCTTTTTATTGAATCGCTTCGCTCATTCCGCCGGCCCATAGTGTAGCGTCGCTGGCACTTGCTTGCGTGCTCGGGGGGGCATTTGGGTGGCCTCCTGGGGCCGCTTGGGGGCCTCTTGGGGGCCTCCTGAGGGCCTGTTGGGGGCCTCTTGGGGCCTCTTAGGGCCTCTTGGGGCCTCCTGGGGACTTCTGAGGGCCGAGGGCTCGAAATATTGTTTCGTGTTCCCCCCCTGGGGTCCCTCTTGGGGCGTTCTTGGGGCCCTCTTGGGCCGTCTTGGAGGCCTCTTGGGCCGTCTTGGAGCCCTCTTGGGCCGTCTTGGGGCCCTCTTGGGGGCCTCTTGGGCCCTCTTGGGGCGGTCTTGGGGGCCTCTTGGGCCGTCTTGGGGTGTCGTGAAACCGAAAAGGTGGAAACGCCAAAATCTCTCCAAAACCTAAGGAAAAACACTGAATTTTGCCTCTTGGGGCCCTCTCGGGAGTGCTCTTGGAGGCTTCTTGGTGCGTCGGGGAGCCATCTTAGGCGTTTTGGAGCGATATTATGGCGTCTTGGAGCTCTGTTGGACCATATTGAGGGCCTCTTGGGGGTCTCTGAGCTCTTCTCGGGGCTCTTGGGAGGCCCTGAGGGCGGCGCCCAGGAGCAGAACCATCCCCGACAGGGAGTTGCCCAGGGACCTGGTCAGGGTACTTTTCGTCTTGGGACCCCCAGGGGCCGCCCCGCGCGCGCGAACTAGAAAATTGTTAAGCAGTTACCGGAGATCTTAGCACGCCTCTGGCCCGTTGGGCCGGCGAATTTGTGTGTATTTATGTGTGTGTGTGTGTGTCCTCGGGCCCCTTCAGTATATCAGGCGATCGCAAACACGGATCAGGGGGGCGTGGATCAGCGACGGGCCCCGTTTCCGCGGGAAATCGCGGGCTTCCGCCGCCGAACCAGGCGGCACCGACCGCATTTGGGGGAGAGCACCTCCCCGGATCCATGGATTCGGCCACCGCGCGCCAAATCCAGGGATCGTTGATCCATGTTTGCGCGCCCCCGAGTACAGACGCTCGAGCACGCCACAGCGGAGGGTAGCTGGGGCGTCTGTGCACCAGGCTCCTCGGCCAACTGGGCGCCGTGGCGTAGATCGGGGGCGGCAAAGAGGGGGATGATGACTAGGGGGGGGGTATCATGGCGGGGGCCATGATATCTCCCCAGATTTCATGGCGCCCCTTCTGATTTCAATACGTCCCCGGACGCCCCCCTCTTGGCCGCTCCCGAGTAGACTCCGAGCCCCTCCCAGGTAAGTTTCTAGATCGGTTTCGGCCAGCCCGATCCGGATCGCTGTCGATGTTCCAACGATCAGATGCGGCCTGGTTCTATTGCGCGGCGCCGTTGCTCATCCCGTGCGCGGCCGGTGCGATTCGGTGCCGACCCGTTCCCACTCGGCCCGATCCGACGCACGTTCCGATCCCGTCCGACTGCCCAACTCGACGCCGACTGATCCCGTCGAGGATTGAAAAGGCGCTCCAGGATCCGAAAGATGTGCACCCGCGCGACCAAGGGGCTGCTGAAGGACCCCGCGGGCTGCCCGCGGCGGCGGGGGTGGGGTGCCACCGCGGGGCGCCGGCGGTGGCACGGCGAGAGCTGGCAAGCCGACGGAGGAGGAGGAGGAGGAGGAGGAGGAGGAGGCGGAGGGCGAGGAGGGGGAGGAGGAGGAGGAGGAGGAGGGGGAGGAGGAGGAGGAGGAGGAGGAGGAGGAGGAGGAGGAGGAGGCGGAGGACATTTTTTGGAACATTCGCATCGGGTGAAACATACAGTCACGGCGTGCGAGCTGAATCAGCCAGCAACCGACCTTCAGGCCATGCCCAAAGCGTTGCCGATGCAAAAGCGGCTCCACCGAACCCAACCCAGGAGGAGGAGAAAGGAGGAAGAAAGAGGAGGAAAGGAGGGAAGGAAGAGGAAGAGGCTACCCTGCTTGTCAGAGTTATCAGGGACTGACCAGTTCTTCGACTGGGCACTGTGGTATTCCCTTCTATTGTTGCAGATGAGTCCATGACAGCTGTTGAACCACACGTGAAAAACAAGGATGCCGCCACCCAGTCGTCCGCCTCCTCTGCACCTGCCTGGCGCCAAGTACGCTGAGGGAGAAGGAATAAATGTTGGCTGAACGGGTTTTCCTCTGGTGCTCTCATCGCGTTTCAGACCGCCAGAGAAACCGACCCCTTTCAGTCGAAAAGGGTCGGTTTTCTAAGTGAGTAACAGGACAAGCAAAAGAGCACCACTGGAATTACCCAAATACAAAGCCGAAGCTAATACATCAAACGTCGTCTAGCTCTTGTCTGAGCTCGAACACTGTAGAAAAGGGAAGCAGGTCACCTAAGATGACCGCGTTACCCCGTCTATCGTTTGGGGATTTCCCTTTGTTGGCGCGACTCCAATGGGCCTTCGCCCTGTTGGTTTCCCTATGGGGAGCGCATTGGCCATCTAAGCCTTGCATTCTGGCTCCCTCAGAGTAGCTACCACAAGCACGACAGATTATAAGGATACCCGTAGGGTGCTCTGAAAGGTATAGAGTGTGACCACGCTGGTTATGAAACAGGCTGCGAAGAATTGGTGAAGCGCCCTGGCACCCTAAGTCAGGAGGTGGAGGATGGCGGAGCAAACGGCCCTCAAGCCTCCTCTCTGCAGGGTCTTGCCTGGAACGGGTACTGCGGCGCTGACAGTGCAAACAAGTCCAGAAACCTTCTGGACGCCACCTCCAAACATGATGGTTCGGGCCGTCTCCAACGGCCTCTTGAAGCACAGCCGGAGGAGGGGGGTCAGGAGGGTCATGACCTGCGGCGCTGGCAGCTGGCCCCTGCGTCCTGAGTCGCTGTAGAAGATGCTCAGGAGCATGAGGACCCAGCGCATCTATGACGGAACCTGCACTCCCCTGAACCTTAGCAGGGCGAACTCGCTCCAACTTCCCTTTGGGAGGTTTGGGGAAGAGAGACAATGCTTCAGGGATAGACATAAGAAACTTCTTCAGGACTTCGCCTTGCGATTCCCACAGATCTACCTCGTTTTTGCTGGGCTCACTGTGCAATTTCGCACCTAGTTTCGCTGCTGTGTCTGCTTTTTCATTCCCCATGGCTTTATACCAGTCGGACGAGGAAGGCTCACAGTCATCAGGGTTTACATGGGCCTTCACCTTCGGGATCTCGAAACCTGGTGGGGCCCGCCCGAGTGTGATGAGCTTGACGCCTGAATAATAATTCTTCCTATGGAGGTTTATCTGGCGAGGCTTAACCGGCATTCCAGCAACTCCAGAATAATCCGAGAAAGCAACTCTGGCACCTTGAAGCAACGACACCACTGCGAGCGCCGCAACGTGTTCCCCTGCCGGGGAGGTTTGCGGGAGCTCGCCCCCCACTCTTCCGAACAACCTGCCCAAGAGAACTCCTTCAGGCGACAGTTTTGAGATTCCCCATCCTGCTCGGTGATGCTGTTTAGCTCCGTCTTTGAAGCAGCTGCCATCAATGAAAACCTCACCTGTCATGACGATCTGGTAGGCCTCTCCTGAAAGAGTCCGAGACTCAAGACTTTCGATGCCGAGTCCAGCCGGGGCGACGAAGGGCGGGGAAGGACACGCCCTGAAGCCAAGCAGGAGGTGATGCTTATAGTCTGGGTGAAGTAGGACGTCCCTGTCCGCGTTGCTGAACCACTTCTCCCTGGCTGTTTCAGTTCCACTGCACTCCCAGCACCGATGATATAAACTATCCGATTGGACTCCACATAAATGGCAAACAGGATCAACATCATAGCCAAGAAGATGCAGCCTTGAACTAGACCAGGAAGTATGCGAAAGATACGAGCGAAGAATATTTCTGTCCTGGGTGCCCAGGGCCTTGTCGCCCAGTATCTTGATAGCTGGGCTCGGGTCCAAGGTCTTATCCTGTAAAAGGAGCTTGTCTGCTGCCAGGGAAGATGTTTGACAACGCCACTGTTCCTGCATGAGACATTGAATCATATGCGGGGACGAGTCGGTTAGACTGTAAACTAAACCATGGGCAGATACATACTTGAAAGGCCCGCCGAACTTCCACCCAATTCGTTCCAAGGAAGGGTGGGCTGCACCGAGGGGGCCACGAACCGTCGCCCATGTCCTGGGTAAATTGGAGAGCACGGGGTCGGCCATGCGAGCCAACTCTGGCAGGGAAACTGCATGCTCGCTCCTTTCCCCTGTCGCTGCTTTCCATACCACCGTCGCCCAAGATAGCGCTGGACCTAGCGCCTGTCTCCACTTGGGGTCGTCCATAAGCATTGAAGATACTGGCTTCGAACAGCTTCTAGAAGGAGACCCGGCAACACTAAGGTACTCGCACTGTGCTGCGATAAGCTCCTTGTGCGTGACTCCCACTACTCCCGAACCGTGGAAACCAAAACTCTGTAGACCAGAAACGAACATGGATTCCATCTTGACCCCCGCCTTCTTCAAAACGTACAATTTCCGCTTTCGCTTTTTCAGAGCCTCCAAACGGCCTTTGAGTGTTAATGTAGCCCCACTTTTGCACCTGAGACTGCCAGCGAAAAAATCTATCCCAAGATTGGTTGCTGCAGACCGGTTGGGGGGCGTGCGATTAAGAGCGACTTCCGCCTCATGTTGCTTGCAACGATCGCCGATTTGTGCAAGGCCACGCTGCACTTCATGGCAGAAGCGATCAGCTCCGACAGGCTCGCTGCAGCATGGGTAAGGATATTCATTACAGTTTTCATGCAACGGTTGGAATACATACCGAGGAAATCATCTATGAAAAGCGTCAGGTCGACACCGGGGGGCGTCGCTCTCCATGATCGCAGGGGGGGCAACGAAAACACCTGAACCAAATAAGTAGCAGAAGAGCAGCCTGCTGCGATACCTTTGTGCGGAAAATTGAGCATCATGCAAATCCAAGAAAACCCAAGAAAACGTCTACCGGAATATTGGTTGAGGACTATGCCCAGCCTTGCTAAAGGATACTGCTGCTGTTCTGCCCGCTCCCAAAGCATATCGTGCTCTACGTGCTCGTAGTAATTACTGAGGCCCCAAAGAAATGCACCTGTATGGAGCCCGGTACTGGTTAAAGCTGACGCCTCGGCCTGGAGACTCTGTAGGAACACGAGCTCCATGATAGATCTACCAGCTTGGTGCCCCATCATTCTGCTTCTGTTAGCTCTCTCCCACTCTCTAGAAACTTCCTGCCGGACCCGCGAATAAATCCTGCGCTGGCTGGGAAGAAGCCCGATACCCCGGAAGCCCAGCCCAACTTTGTTAGGCCTGTGCTTTGGTATCAAATTCGTGAGGATCGCGTGGATCGGGGAGGGCATGATGCCTACCTTTTCAACGATGCGGAAAAGCTTCGCTGCGCAGGATAAGAGCAAGTAATGGCGCGGGTGGAAACCATCCTAAGTCTGCGCCGTATGTTTTGAACATGTTTTGGCTGCTTCTCTGATGTCCTGGCTGCTTATTTCGGCAAGCTCTTTCCAACTGCCTTCAGGGGCTTGGGAAATTTCTTTGGGGCTGGGCCGGGATTGCCATAGTTTTTCGAGGCGGTGGCCCTCGCTTTCTAACAACTCGGTGGGCTTTGTTGATTTGCGAATGTCTCCTCCCGTATCCACAGGACGCCAAAACTCTCTAATCTTACTCCACCTGTGGGCCCAACCCGTCCCTTGCCCCATCGCTTGCTTAACCCACTCCTTCCAAGCCACAGTAGACATAGACTTGGTGAGCGCCTTCTCCTGGTTGATAGCCTCATTCACCTGCTCAGTGAAGGTGTCCAGGGCCCGACTAACGACGCCCATGTCGAACCTACCTTCTCTGACATCCATGTCCAAGGCGCTGATGTACGCGACTGCTTGAGAACGCGCCCCTATTAGGGCGGGAAAATAATGGCACTCGACCGGCGCCTCCTGGGGCTCCAAGGCCAATCTGGAGAGGGTAGCCGGCTGCCCAATACCGCAGGAGGGTTCCGAGAATTCCCTGGAGTTCGGGTCCGAAATCTTCCCAATGGCTCTTGAAACTGCTTGGATCCAATTTTTGATCCAGATCAAGGGCTGGACGAGACTATGCCAACTTTTCCGCGTCCTGCTTTGAGCTTGGTTGCGAGGGATCATCTTGATCTTGGGAGGGTCTGCCCGTCGAGAAAAGGGGCGCAGAGGTGTGTCTGTTGCTTTGGAGACGGTCTGCTCGAAGAGTTTAACGAACTTCTTATATGCTGCGTCCAGGAGTTTCCGTCGAACCTGAAGCCCGGTACCGGGATCACCAACTTTACCACTGACCCGATCCAAGAGACAATCCAACTCGGCCCAGTCCACCGGTTCGAGGGAGGGCCCAAAGGGCTTCTGAACAGGAAGACGGGGTGGTAAGACCAGAACAGGAACGAGCTCCTTGTCTGACACCATGCTGTGCAAGCGAACGAGACGATGGGGAGAATGAGGAAACACATGATCTGTAACTGTGAAGATCCCATCAATCATATCTGCCAACGACTTGGACATCACAAAATAATCAATGACAGAGGTGGATTTTTTCGTGGCGTAAGTGCGGACGTCGGG